TTGCAGGCGTTCTCTGCCAGACCATTTGCTTGATGGTCTCCTACTGGCGACTCTTCCGAAACCCAGTCTATGCCGGTTTCTTTCGCCGCTGCCTCTTTCAAGGCTACCACTGATGGCTCACCATCTGACTTGAGGACCACCTTGCGGTGTCCCAAGTTCTTCAGGAAGTTCGCCACGAACTTCACTGCATACGGCGTCGCTCCCTTCGAGTCCACGAAGGTCGCCGCTAAGGACTGTGTCCTCTCATCCTTCACTACGAGGATCGGCTTCACTCGCTCGTCCTCCACACCGCCCCGTGACATGAACGTGTAGTCCATTGCCACTGTGGGCACAAGGCTCTTGGCCTTCTCTTCCTCGGACCTCGTCCGATGTGGCTGTCCCACAGCCCGTCCAGCAATGCAATGCCGGCACCAACTTCGATATTGCACATGGCCTGTCGCCTCGCGCTCTTCGATCTCGGCCGGGGTTGGATCCTCCGGCGCTCTTATCTGGATGGGTTTCTCAACCTCATCAACTAATTCCAACTCATCATCCTCTTCTCGCCCCTCTGGACCAGGTCGGCCTGAATCCATAGAGGCATCTCCTCTTTCTCCTGCGGCGTTCAACTCTGCAATGCCACAGCATTCCTTTGTCGGTTTATACCCTGGCTTTCTCAAGTAGAAGTTGTACACTCCCTGCTCCTGATACACAGGGATCCAACTCCGCTGCTCTGCAGCGTTCGCTTTCTCCAGGATCGCCTGGACAGCCTTTCCAACTTTGGACCCTTGCGGAATCAAGTTTCCGCCTTTTGCATCAAGAACTGCAATCCTTCCAAAGCCTAAGCACTTGGATGCTGAAATCAATGGCTTGTGAACATCAGCCATTGAACCTTTCACACGGCATTTGTTGCCGCTCTCGTCGAACCCTTCAAAGGTTCCAATGCCCTGACTGGGCACCAACTCTCCTGATGCAGTCTTGAACACAACTCCGTTGCCTTCACTGACAACCACTCGATCCTCCCAGCCATTCGGGATGGCTGTCTGGGCTGCTCCAGTGTCCAGGTTAAACTTCATCCATTCTTCGGCGGATGAGGTGTCCGCCATTCCAATTCCACTCAAGTCTGCCATGAGCATGCCGACATCGGCTTCCGGAGCTGGCTCAATGCCATCATCCGGTTCGTCCATCTCTTCCATACTTCCTGCGGCTTTACCTTTGCCGCCTTTTCCACCTTTGCCTTTGTTGCCTTTGCCACCTTTACCACTCTTGTCTCCTTTGCCTGAACCTGACCACTTATCGCCTTTTCCATCCGGCCGTTTCTTGCTCCAGCAATCGGCCGCTCGGTGTCCTTTCTTACCGCAATTGTAGCAGGTAATATCTTGAGCCGGGTTTGAGCCTTTACTTGAACCCCCTTTGCTTGAGCCTTTCTTTCCATCACCTTTGGCCTGTTTACCTTTTCCTTTACCTTTTCCTTTGACCAGGCTTGCGATCCATTGTCCGATCGAATCGACGTCCATGGGTTGAGGTCCTTGGTAACTTGAACTTGATGAACCTGGTTTTGGAACAGATGACTTTGATGTGAGGGATGTTTCAATGACAAGTTCGATCTCCTGTTTGATCAACGAATAGGTTGTCAATCTACTCTTGTTCAACAAAAGATGTTTCTCCAAATCTGGGGGTACCAGCATCTCCAATGAAGCGGACTTGATATCGTCCGATAGGGTTTCCCTAATCCCTGCGGCACTCCTCCGGGACTCGTACCGCCTGATGAGCTCTTCGAGCTGTTCGATCGCTGGCCTCACCGCGGCCCATGTCTTGACTCTCTCCGGTTGGAGAATCGCTCGAAGTATATTGCGTTTCCGTCCCGAGGTTCGGGGATCCCAACGGCGGTGAACTCGCCGATATGCTTCAAACCCATTTGAAGCTCCTACCATCAAATCCTCTGTTTCACCCGAGGTCAGGGTCAGGAGCACGCGATGAATTTGGTCAGCTTTATCCTCCAAATCATCGATAGCTGCTATGGTTCCAGTCCCAAATGCGGACTCCATAGCACTCATTTCAATCGCGTCTTCCTGCTCCAAAATATACTCCAGGACTTCAATGAACTCTCTCCCAAAAGTAGTTATGAACAGGTTATCAATGCTCCTGGCCCATTTCCGAAAATCCCCTTCAACATTTCCAAAACTTTCGGGGCGTCCTAACCCTTTGGTGTCCATGAGGATTTGGGACTTCTTCCTATCATCTTTCCTCTCAAGGCTTTTAGCCAATTCTCCGACAGCTGAAGCTAGCATTGATACCCCACCTTGAGACTCCCTCAAAACTTGATTCTCTTGCTCCAACCTCGCTTGATTCTGTTGGAGTTGAAGTACCATTTCACTCAATTGTTGGATCTGTTGTTCCATGGTTTCTTGCCCTCAACCCCTGCTGCTGCTGCCGCTCACTCCTTTTCCAGCGGCAGTCGCGGGCGGTTCGCCCGGTCAAGGATCGGAAGGTTTTGGCACTCCACGGACTTCAACAGTAGTCCGTGTGAGTTCTTCCGGGCGACGACCCACAGTTGTGGCCTTCGCTTCAGCCGCTACTTTTGGTGCGGCAGATGGTTTGGCCTTTCCTTTTGGTCCGGCCTTTGATTTGGCCTTCACTTTCGGCCCAGGTGTCAGGCTCACAGCTGGCGCCGCTTTGGACTTGGCGCTCGATCCAAGAACGGCAGGTCCCTTAAGTCCTCGCCGCTTGATGTAGTCCTTCACCACCGGCAGCTGTGCCTGCCGCCGTTCGTCACAAGAACTACAGGCCTCGTTGGATCCTCTTTTTCCTTGTTCGTTGGGGGTCTTCCACAATTCGCGAATGGCGGCCAGTGCAACGGTGCCCTTGAGATTCCGCTGCTCGCAAAGTTCGTCGGCCGCAAACTTTCGCACTTGGAACGGGCTCTCTAATTTCCAATTTTCTATCGTCAATCGCTGGGCCCGTTCGTTGGCTAGGGCGACGATGCGGAGGTTCAACTCCAGTGCACGCCCCCCAGACCGCCCGTCCCCGCTGGGTGTCGCGGGTTTGCGGTCGCTTAGCCGGCGGTGGCCCGTCCGGTGTTCGAGGCTGTCGAACCGGACTTGGATGGCTCACCGACTCTTCTTCTTCTTCGACCTCCTCCTCCTCGGCTGGATCAGCCGCTTCTGAGGTCTTCCTTTTCTTGGTCCGCTTCTCTTGATTGCGGACCTTCTGCTCTTCCCGCTCTTCTTTGATCTCTTGTGGAGTGCGCCCCTTTCCGAACTCTTTGATGCGCCTCCTCAGATCCTCTGTGATGACACCCTTCTTCTTCTCCAGCCTGACCAGGTCCTTGAGCCTCCGGTACTGAAGCGAAGTCTTGCTTCGAAGTCGAAATCCGGATTGTGGCTCTGGATGCTTCTTGACCTGTCCCCAAATGTTCTTCTTTACCCTCCAAGGTGCTTTGGGATCAACTTTGGCTGGGGTATATTTGGCGTGAATGCCACGAACCTCCCAACCTGTTTTGACACCTTCTGGGGAGGTTTGGAAGTCGGCGATCACTCGGCCAGATGAGGATGGCTGTGCGGCTGGATCAGCCGCTTCAGCCTCTGGCTCTACTATGGGGTCTTGCTCAGGCTTTTCCTCTTCTCCTCCTTCTTTCTCTTTTGTGGTCTCTTCTTTTGTTTCCTCTTCTTTTGTTTCCGCGGTTCCTTCAACCGCTGATGTTGTTTCGGCAGTTTCTACAGCCGCCGGAGTGGTGTTTGCGGCTGGTTCCGCCGCTGATGTGGCTGGCAAAGGCTCCTCCTCCTTCTCTTCTTTTCCGCTCGGGGCGGCCGAAGCGGCCGCTCCCGGGATCTCTTGATCCTCCTCCTCTGAGGTCTCTACCTTACTATGTCTCTCTTCCTTGATGCGCAGCGCTTTGTCCCTTTCGCTCTCACCGGGCTCACGCGCTACCATGAAAACGAGGTTTCGACGTTACGGAACGCCTTTTTCCCTTGAGCCAAAATACGTCAAGAGTCACGTGTCTGCAGTACCTATAGCGGAGTATATATGGGCTGTACATACAAACAAATTATAAACTACAAACATATATGAATAGACAAAGTCAAGCAAGCATTGTTGAGCCGATACGAAATATATCGAAAATTATCGAAATATCACTTGCGTCTGCAACGAAGACTGCAAACCCCCGTACTTCACAGGACGACAGTGAATGGTCCGAGCAAGTACAAGGCAAGCAACAAACCCCCTCTTGTCATCTGTTGCCAATCCCCGATTTGCAAAGCCTGAAGACACAACAGGTTTGCCAAAGCAAATGCAAGCTCCCCATACCCACTGATCATGGCTGCGTAGCCAGCACACTCAACGTCGGACGCAAGAAACTCACCGACATTATGCATATTGAAGCGAATCGCCACTGCAGGGTCCCCACAACCGTGGGAAGGTTTCACATCCAAGGTGCCACGAGCATAAGATGGTTGGCACGATGGATGACTGTGACTTTTTAGCTGGTCGAGAAATACAGTAGACTCGATGTAAAATATCCCAGTTTCCATGCACATCTTCGTGTTTTGACAGTGATATGCACTCAGTGGTGAAGTGACTGGTGCTCTTTTGTCGTGTGTTTCACGTCCATTTTCTTTGCACCTTCTCCCGGTCACAGATCTTGCCGGTGGCCGAACTGAGCCTCTTTTTTCCCTGGATGCCTCCTGCCTGGTTTTGTCTGTGCCCAGTTTTTGTGGTTATCCTTTTGGTAAAGAGAATCACCGGGAAAATAATCTGATCTTGAGATGCCGAAGGATGCAAGCCAACCATGTGTACTTAGAGCTAGTGGATTCGGGAGAATGCACCTCAATATAAACTGGTGTGTTCTCCTTTTTTTAGGTCCGACATTGAGGCTGATGGGCCATGTAGCGGCTAGCACCCTCACACGGAGCAACTGAATTGACCGACTGAGCTATTGGCCACTCCCCTTCTTCAAGATTGCTCTCCAACTCCTGAGGAAATTTCAATCCTCTGCAGGCTGCTGCCATCACAGGCTGCTTCCATCACAATTGGCTCTCCTGCCGGTTGAACCAGGCCCAGTCCGACACAGGTGTCGTCTCAGGCAAAGCGACCCTCGGAAGTCAGAGGAGAAGTGACTCTCACTTAGCATGAAAACAATAAGGAATGCCGAATGCCTTTACATCGGGTCACGAGGCTTTAAGTGCCGAACTCTGAGCTTGGTAAAAGCCGAGCACGGTAGTAGAAGATCTTGCGCCCCTGGTCCAACACAATTCACTCTTCTGGAGTCATTGCAAACGGGGAGTGGCAGGCCTGGATTCCTGGATTTTGATTGCTCAGCCGTTTCCGGTAGGAGAACGGACAAGCACCAACCTGAAAAACAATCATAGACAAGAAGCCGCAGGAAAAAGACGCATGCATTCGGGGCACGAGATAAGGTCTCAAATCTGGCCCCAGTTGATTGTCGGCCAATCCAAGCCTTGGAGTATGCAGGACTGCACTTTCAAAGTATAAATAGTATTTCACGTGCGCCCTTAGAGGCTCACAGTGTCTCCCGCATGCCCTGCCCCTGGAGTCTGTCCGCCTCTTGAGAGAATCACGACTAAATTAAGAAACAAGCAAGCTGCGACAAGCCCAAGGGACACTGCAAGGCCAAAAAAGTATCCCGAAGGGCCAAGGGAAAGTTCTTGCTCTGTTTGGGTGAAAATAACCTTTGTGAAAGTCCTGCCTTTGGGAAAGTCCAGTGCTTGGCATTCTTGTATCGAACCAGCAAAAACCTCAGCCACACCAAGGTTCAAGAAAAAGCCTGTTCGTTCGCTGGGAGAGATGAACTGAGCTGAACTTGTTATTCGACTTTTTTTTTCAAGTCCTCAGACTCCAACAAGGAGTGACTCCGTAGCCGCCTCACCAACTTCACAAAAACTCGGCCATTCGGCCGTCCGATTGGTTGCTTTTTGGCACGAATTGCCGGCCTCAAGGAACGCTGATCAGAGTCATCCACCTGCCAGGTGTCTAGACTCTAGAATCTGATTCTTGTTACAGTAACTTCGTATACCGTATAACCTTGAAACAGGAGTACATTGAAATACCTCCTTGCTAGTTCGCCACTGACCAGGCGGGTGTGTTCCCAACCCAAACCAATGATGTCGAACACCAACAGTGTCTACATCCGTACATATCCTAAACTGTGAAAGCCAAAATCTGATATGGATCGCTTAGCAATGCACTCGCAGTTCCTTTCAAATGTTGTGTGTCTGCTACCATCAAAGAAATTTCTTCCTATCTACCTGTCATTCACCTCCACGTCTGCCTGCCTTAATCTTCAAGGGCCAGGGTCAATTCATAGGGTCTGAACTAGCCGCGCCTTCTCTTCTTTTCGTTTCTCCACCTGCAGGGCATCAACTAGCAGAGACTTAGTGATGCTTGAGAGTTGATCCCTGAAAGGCCTTCCTCCGCTTGACCGCTTTTCGTCCAAGCTCAGGAAACGCCAGGTCAACGCCCTGCAAAAATTGGTCGCTTGGACTCTCAAGACTTGCCAAGATTGACTGCACATGGTCCTCTTCTCCGACCAGGGAATCAAGCCCTCTGGCGGCCTGACATTTTCATGAACTCCGACTCTGAGCCCTCAATTCTTCAAACCGGGCCACCTATTTTTCTCCCCAGCCTTGGGGCTCATTGCTGCCACCAAAGTGTCCGTGCTGACGCTGGTGGCTAGCTTGGAGGCAGACCCCCCTGATCAAAAAAAATGTTCTCCAATACTCCTCTCCAAGACATGAAGAGCACATGACATGCATTATAGTGACGCAGCGAAACTTAGAACAAAAAAACTATTTTAGAACATAGTAAAACCCACTATTTTATAACATCAGCAGCATTTCGCAGAAAAAATAAGCTTAGAACATAAATTTAGAACATCACAGCCAATTCTGTCCCCAATGTTCTAAGTGGGCTGTACATGTTCCTCCCAGGGCCCGAGCCAATTCCTACATCTATATACCAATTCCGACTGATTTCCTTTGAATTTCTTTAAGTTTGTGTGACTTCCATTGATGTGATGTTGAGTTAGTTTTGGTTCCTAGTGATTTCCTTGTAATTGCCTTTTGATCCCTATTGCCTCCTTGTAAGTTCCTTTTGGTTCCTATTGATTCCCTTTCTGACTTATTGATTTCCTAGCCTTATGTGTATATGTGAATGCGATGCCATCACATGTTGTAGCATAGGGTTTCTTGAGAGCCGAAGCTGGCCGCTTTTGTGGTTCAAACCAGCCACATGGCCACGTGTCCGCGAGAAAAGCCGCGGAAGCCGCTTGAGCGAGTTCCACTTGCCTTAGTGAACTTCGAGAGTCACTTTCCTGACGGTTGAGCTACCCAACCTCAAATTGGTAGCGGAGCCGCAAGGCTCAGGGCTCCAGCGTGCTGCTAGCTACTACATCCCGGTCGAGCTCGATGGCAAGTTCATCTGCTGCAGCATCCTCGAGTGTGGATGCAAGTAAAGATTCTTGGGCGCCCACCTTCAGCAACAGGCCTCAAGACTACAAGGAATGGAGGGCTCGGATTCACCTCTACCAGAAGAAGATGGTTCTGCAAAAGAAGCCACAAGAAGGAGTCATCAACCTCCTGACAACCCTGTCAGGAACAGCCTGGAAGCAAGTCGAGCCGATAGCTGAGTCGGCAAGCGAAGACAAAGATGGAGGTTTACACTAAGGTGATCGAAATCCTCGACAAGACCTTCCGCTACGATGCACGGGTCGAACAGCCCAGATCTTTCGAAAAGTTCTTCTACAGCCTCACCAGGCGCTACGACCAGACGCTGATGTCCTACTGCGCCGAACATCGAGAAGCGCTACGAGAAGTTGAAAAGCATGGAATCAAGATGCCGACCGAGATCACGGGTTGGCTGATGTTGAGAAGAAGCGGTCTGTCACAAGACCAAAAACACCTGGCGCAAAGCCAATGTGGTTCCAGCCTCGAAGAAAGCAAGGTTGAAGAAGCCATGTACTACCTGTACGGCCAGGCCAGGGCTACAGGGGAAAGGTTGGACACTCTCAACGTCCAGTTGGGGGAAAAGGAAAGAGCTTCAACAAATGGAAGAAACCAGCACAGGCCTACACCATGTACGAGGACGACTACATGGACGCCTTTGAAGAGACTTACGAGCCTGAGAATGACGAGGCCTACTATGAAGAAAACCAAGAAGAGTATGCTGATGAGGCATACGAAGAAGAGTTTGATGAAGATGCAGTCAACTACACCGGCTACGACGAGGACTACCCGGACCAAGAAGACCCAGAGTATGAGGAAGCCTATGCCACCTACCTGGCACTGGATGCCAGGCGACACTTTGCTGAGCTGCGCAACAACAGAGGCTTCTATCCAGTGGTCGCACTGACCGACAATACAGCTTCATCGAGTCCAACAGCTTCACAAAGGCCATACCCTCCCCGTTCCAAGGGAAGCAAAGGAAAAGGAAAAGGGCAGGGTTCCAAATCACCTCCACAAAAGGGTGATGCCAAGAGTCGAGGCCGCACCGCCTTGAACCAAACCAAGACCTGCCTACGATGTGGTCAACCTGGACACTTTGCAGCGCAGTGCACTCAAAAAGAGAAGCACCACCAACAGCCCAACCAACGCCGCCAAAAAGGCCAAGGCCGAAACCGCCAGATGGTCCAGTTCGAAATGAAGGACTACCAGCGCATCCCAAAGGGACTCTTCGGCGCCATGGATGGTGGGGCAAGCTGCATGGTCCTCGGCCATGACATCCTCAGGAACTACATCGAAAGCTACCACGAACAAGGGTTCGATGTTTCTAGCTTCCACTTCCGCCCTGCACAAAAGACACTGCAGTTCGGCGGAGACAACAGCCTTGAAGCACAATGGACAGTACACATGCCAGTCTGCATCCAAGGCCATCTTGGCCGCACCCAGGCCTTCGTTGTCCCTGGCTCAACTCCTCTCTTGATCGGCAGGCCAATTCTCAAGGCCATGAAGCTCCAGCTCAACTTCATGGAAGACACCGTGCGAGTTGATGAAGGCCCATGGTCACCCATCATCACTGGCTCCAGAGGAGAACATCTCCTACAACTTGACCAAGGTCTGCAAGACCTACCAGACCACAGCAGCTATGAGTTTGACTACATGATGGAGGAGACCTACAACCTGCTGACACAAGACCCTGCACAAGCAGAGCACTACACACTTCAGCACTACATTGAGCTCACAGGCCTTACACCTCCAGACTTGGGAGAACACGGCACGCAGGCCAACGATGATGACAACACCAACGAAGAGAAAACAAACGACACCACAGACCCAGAAGATGAAGATGACACCGGCTATCGCAGAACTCTGACGGACAAACTGGTCCGCAGTTTTCGACTACACCAACAACAGCTGGCGCGATACTACAAGCACACCCTTGAGACAACACTTGCAGCACACGACAGCCGCCAGATGCAATTCTGGGAAGTCTATGCTGGCGATGCAGCGCTAGCAACACACATGGAAGAACTTGGGTACAAAGTCCGCACCTTTGACATCCTCAGCGGATGGGACTTCACCAAACCCAGCCACCAGAGGCAGTTCATCCATTTGTACTACCATCAGAGCCCAGAGATCGTTTGGATCGCACCACCTTGCACCAAATGGTCCCCATTGCAGCGATTGAATGCCAAAACACCGGCAGATCAACAACGACTGGAAGCACAGCAGCAGCATGAAGAGGGAACCCACTTGCGGTTCAGCAAGACAATCCACAACAAGCAACACAAGCAAAAGCAAATTTCCATCTTCGAACACCCCAAGTATGCGACATCTTGGGACACACCAACTCTACAACAGCTAGAAGGCTACGATGCACATGTGGACCAACGCCAATATGGAGCAACCCTACCAGACTCCAACGGCTACGAACAATACATCAAGAAGCCAACAAACCTACGCATCACAGATAGCACCCTGGCTTCCATGTTCGAGCAAGTCTGCAACAACAACCACTACCACCTCCCCATTGAGGGCAGCTCCCCACTCATAGGCAACAGAGCAGCAGCAGCTGGCAGCTACAACGCAGACATGTGCAGAGAGTGGGCCCAGATCATGAACACCTTTATGCTCACTGAGTATTGGCAACCACCGAAGAAGCATACCCGGCAGAACATGATGCAGTACAACCGGCAGAACAGCAATTGGCACTACAGCCACAACAGGCAATGGTAGAACGACAACCACAGGTCTACGACGATAACGAACAGCTGGACAGCAATCGAGGCATACTCACCCGACTGCAAGAGACACAATGGTCACCAGCCCAGAGAACAGTCCAGAGGATACACAGAAACCTGGGACACCCAACCAACCTCGAGTTGACCAAGCTCCTCAAGAGCAAGAACGCCAGTCCCTTGATTGTGGCAGCAGCACAGCAGCACCACTGCCAACTGTGTCACGCACATCGACCACCACCACAAGTGGCCAAAAGCACACTCCGAACAGGAGGCAGCTTCAACAGCAGAGTACAAGCAGACACAGTCTGGATACACCTACCACGGCTTCACAATGGACATAAGCCACAAGCAGTTCCAGTCCTCAGCATGATCGACGCTACCACAAAGTTCATGTCCGCAAGGGTCATCGACTCTGAACAATCGGATGACTTCATCCAAGGACTTGAACGAGGATGGATCAGACACTTCGGTCCACCAACACTGCTCCAAGTCGACGACCACAGAGGATGGAGCTCAGACACCACAAGAACCTGGACCAGCGACCTCGGCATACAACTGGAGATTTCACCAGGCCAAGCACATACACGACTTAGCGCGCTTGAGCGACGACACCAAGTCCTACGACGAGGCATTGAACTCTTCACAGCAGCACAACAAGAAAGACAAGACTTCGATCAGCGGATGAGCACCCGCGAGCGAATCACACAAGCACTATGCTACGTGATCCCTCAGATCAACCCACGCATACCCGGTGTCCTAATGGATCACGACCTCCCAACAGCAGGCTGACACCCTCCGAAGCCATGGAGCAGAAGCTACACCTACAGAAACAGGCAGCTATCTCAGTGATCGAAGCAGACAACGACGCACGTATACGCCGAGCACTCCTCAGACAGCATCAAGCAGTACAGTACACCTACTCCACAGGACAACTGGTCTACTACTGGAGAGATGCACCCGGAGGAGCAGGTCCAAAGATCCGATGGAAGGGTCCAGCAACCGTAGTAATGACAGAACCAGGCCGCACCGGCCCAGCAACAAACACGTACTGGATCACACATGGTTCAACACTCCTACGAGTCTCTGGAGAACACCTACCACCAGACCTCAACCACCAGAGCGACACAGATCCACTACAGAGAGCACGACAAGCACTGGACAACATCCGAGGCAGAAGCACTACGCTGTACACTGACCTCATCAAGTCCAACAAAAGGAAACGAACAGAGATTGTCACCGACGACGAGGAGGAATTGCCCGAAGCGCCAGACACTGAAGCTATGGCACCAGATCCACAACCAGCCCACCAGGACTACTGGGACATTGAAGAAGACGGCATCACATGGCACCGCATCCATGTGACACCAAGACAAGCACTATACACACCAACCAATGATGACAGGGCACCATGGCAGAACTTCCAAGACATCCGGAGAACGGTGATCATGAGGCCACACCAACCGGCCCGAAACAGAACAGTCTTCCAAGATGACTGGACATTGCCGAATGCCACAAGATCCATGCCATTCCAGTGGACAGGAAGCACAACCTTTGTCCTGAGAACAGTAGTTCTAGCACCAGTCCTCCAAATGTTCCCACTACCACTCCAACACCTATGGAGGAAGACGGAGATGAACAGGCAACTGGAGATGAATAGAGACCAATACAGCCCGAGCTAATGACATGGAGCAACCATACCAGAACACATCACCTGGAGCTCCAGCAGCCGAGCTGAACATTGCAGAGATCACAACAGGACACGACAGCACCGGTGAACCAGAACCACCACCGAGCACGCATGGTGCGCCAACACCCCATGCCACCACGGCAAGTGTACATTATGATGGCGGTCAAATTCCAGAACATCAGCAACATCTTTATGCACCACCAGCACCAACAGAGAGCTTCCACGACCAGCGAACACGTTTTGATCGACAAGAAACACTCTCTCTACAGCCACCAGCACCTGGACATGACAGGTATGGACCACCGACAAGAACTCACACCACAACACGAGGTCCTATGCCATATGCCAGACCGGCACCACCAGATTCGGAGATGGCATTGACCCTCAGCACCTACGAGACTGATCTCAACAGGGTCGACGGCACAACACTACCACCAGGCTGGAAGCTGGAAAATGGATTCTTGACCTTAGACGTCTGCAAAGACGAGTGGACAATCCAAAACAACAAGCTGATACGCCGCCACTACATCCCACGGAACCAGCTCTTCGACCCCAGCGAAGAAACAGTTGGATGCCCACTGCCCGTGCACTACCTCAGCAAGGACCGGCACACCACCAGTTCAGCAAGCATGAACAATTACGACAGATGGAAGAAGAAGGGCAACACAACCACAGCCTATGCCTGGACAGGGCAGACAAGCTTCAAAATCACGCCAGCCTACCGCCTGCTAGCCCATGAAGCTTTCTACAATGTCAGCCATGGTCACCAGACATACATCGAGCCAACAGCCGAACAGGCATACCCAGCCGAAGAAACAGGCACACCAGGCCACAGCCCAGCGGGCATCAAGGCCCGCAAGGATCAGCTCAACGAGCGACGGGTGACGCTCGCTGATCGCCTCGCTTTCATGGAGGCAAAGAAGAAAGAGCTCGGGAAATGGTCAACGACAACGGAACGGTCCCGAGTGACCGAATTCTCAAGGCACACTTCATTTTGAAGTGGTCGAAATGGCCACAAACGGTGAACCCAAGCCAGGCTCATCACCCAGGGATTCAAAGATCCCGACGCCTTAAATGGCCAACTCAGCACCGATGCACCAACGCTGAGTCGAATGGGACGAAACTACATCCTCTCTATCTGCGCCAACAACGGTTGGACAAGTCTCAGCGCAGATGTCAGCACGGCATTCCTTCAAGGGAAAGAGCGCCCAAGCCACCGCACACTATGGATTAAGTTGCCACCAGACGCCAGACGACTCCTCGGCCTCACTGGCACCGACGGCGACCACGCCCTCATGCAGCTCAAAAAGCCCATGTACGGCTTGCGCGATGCACCCCGAGCATGGTACAGTGAAGCACGAGAGCGCATCACGCGCCTAGGAGCCACAGTCCACCCACTTGATCCGTGCCTCTTCCTGATCCATGATCATGAGGCCAAAGAAGATTCCTGGATTCGCCAGACCGACGACAATGGCAATACAGTCAAAAACCCACCACTGGTCGGAATCTTCGGATTGCACGTGGACGACATCCTTGGATGTGGCAATATGGACAACACCTACTGTGCAAAGTTCATTGCATCCCTGCGGAAGACCTTCAATTTCGAGCTTGGGAACAGAACACAGACATAGAGCACTGCGGGGCAAAGATCCAAAGGATCAACGAACACCATTATGAACTACAACATACTGCCTACATGGCAAAGCAAAAGCCCATGAGCTTTGAAGATGGCCCCAACGACCAACCAGTGACAGAAAAGCAACGCACAATGTTGCGAGGCATTGTCGGAGCACTCCAATGGCCTTCCACTCAGAGCAGTCCCCATGTCCAAGCCATGACCAGCATGCTCGCTGGACAAGTGAGTCGCGCCACCATCTCGACTCTTCGAGAAGCCAACAAGTGCCTACGATACGCCAAACAATACTCAGATGTGGGCCTACGATTCCAAAAGCTGGGCAAGCCGGAAGAAATGACATTCATTGTCTACAGCGACGCAGCATTTGCTTCACGAGCCGACCTGACTTCGCAAGGAGGTCACTTCGTAGTGATGACGCACCACTCAGTGACAACAGGCTCAGAAGGAGGTTACCACCTGATCGACTGGAGATCATGGAAACTCCCAAGGATCGCCCGATCCAGCTTGGCAGCAGAGAGCCAGGCAGCCTCAGAAGCAGCAGATGCACTGCTGTACGCCTCCACCTTCTGGAAACCACGACCTCGGCCAAGACCTTTACGAAGAAGCAGAAGCCGAAGCTGCAGCTGCAACCTAGTACACCACCTTTGACCGGTGTGAATGTGATGCCATCACATGTTGTAGCAGCTGCATAGGGTTTCTTGAGAGCCGAAGCTGGCCGCTTTTGTGGTTCAAACCACCCTTTTCTCTCCCATTAGCTTGGGAGGGCTTGTGCTACTGAGCCACATGGCCACGTGTCCGCGAGAAAAGCCGCGGAAGCCGCTTGAGCGAGTTCCACTTGCGTTAGTGAACTTCGAGAGTCACTTTCCTGACGGTTGAGCTACCCAACCTCAAAGTATATATATATACACACCTCTTATATATATGTATACACCCCTTTCTATGTTGTATGTCCTGCAGCCGATTCAATGATTTTAGACCTGTGTTGCAAGTTCTTTTGTATCCATGTTCTATATGGATGTTCTAAGTTTTGTTGAAAAAGCAAATGTTCTAAAAATTGAATTTAGAACAAGGCTACCTGCAAAAATGTTTCCCAGAATACGTTCTAAGTTTCACTGCGTCAATATGTATAGTTTCGCAAATTAACCACTGATGAAGTTCATCTCACAGGCCTTGAAGTCATTAGAATCATTAGAACTCTTTGATCGGCTCAAGTCGTTTTTGATGATTTCCTCGTTCTTCCTCTGGGGTCCCCAGCGCTTGCGACCGCCTCCACTCTTGCTTCCAAGACCTCTGAGCCTGAGCAGGTGAGCAAGTGGAAGGAAGGGACCGCTCGGGTGACTCGAATCTTCGAGGCAAATGGTGCCTGTGTTGCCTATGTCGGCAAAACACCAAGAGTGAGAGAAAAATCTAGGCTAGACCTTGGTCCTCGAGAAATTGCAGGAAGCAATTCATTTCCTCTGTGCCCAAGGGTTTTGCAAAGCTGGGGCTTCGCCAGCCGCCAGTGCCTGCGTCGCAGCTTTGTCCTGGAAGGAGCTCCGCACCAAACCAAGCAAAACCATGTTGCGCAAGCGAACATTGCCACGCCATAGTTTCTCCATTCTTCAGTTGAGCCGCAGTCCAACATCTGTCCTGTAAAAAGTGAAAGTGAAATCGCATAAAGACCTCAGTTGAGTCGGTTTCTGCAGGCAAGTCAGTCCACCTTTGTTGCGTCATCAATTCAAGCAAAGTTGGCCAAGGATCAATTTCGTCGTCCATTGTTAAATGATTGCCAGTGCGCAAATCCCAGGCCTGACTGAAAATGCCCCTCAAGCACCGCTCTATGTCTTTACCACGTAGAAAGCTAATTTCAGTGATACTGACTCATCATTTCAAGTAGTGAATGTGGTGCTCATAGCAGTTGTCCGTTGGAAGGTTGGAAGTACGACAAACCACCCGAGTCTTACAGTGCATGCTTTAGAATCTCCCAAACTCTCATTCCTAATTCTTCCCTGAATGTTCTGACCGTTCTGTCCTCTTTGAAAGCTCTCCACTTCTGTTTGTAGTCCGGCTCCACGATTTGAAGAGGAGGTCGTTCCACACACAAAGCACCCTCAGTTCGTACAAGTTGATACTGTCTTCAGGGTTGGGCGTCGCAAACAGTTACATCCGCGCCTGAATTTTCAAGCCTTTGTGCACGGAGATTTCATGCCAAGCCTCGCACGAGAAGATTTTTTGGACTGCAACTGCTGGTTAAAGTCACCAATCCACCTCTGCTGCATAGTTTCGCCACCGAAATGAAACCAGTTTCCACGGCACCCTTTGGCATTTCGCTAACCTTGCCCATCGCATGTTGCAACTATGAAGTGGTTGGCGAAAGTTTGCACAACTACGTGGTAGTTCTTGGTTGCACTTTCAACAGAGAGTTAAGTTGCTGCGCAAAAAGGGTACTACAATCAGTTGACCCTGTCGCGAACCAGATCTCAGACTTGCTTAGCCATAGTTGTAGCGGCGCCGCAATGTTTTGTTTTTTTCGCTGTCTAAGGACTGGAAATGGCTAGAAGAGGTGCACATCAGAATCTGTCGTTGACTGAGCAAAGTTCTTGATCAAGCAACTCTGCCGACTCTGCCCCTCAATTTTGAGCTGGCTGTGTGCATCCGTGTCCACACTCAGCCTCAGCAGCAGGTACACTGACGAATAGCATCAGTCGCCTGCTGCATGTACTACCTCAAAAGCGCATCGAGATGCATAGAGGCACTGCAAGCAGCATGCTGCATAAGTATGGGCGGGCATGACTGTATTTCTCTGTGTACGTATGCACTACTACACTCCAAAAGTGTTGACCTTGTATTGTGCACGCGACTGATGTTGAAGATCTGCTTGCTGCAAGAGAGAGCAGCCATGCGAGTCGCTTGGCGATGCAGGCTGCAAGGCACGTGGCCACCTGTACGATCTTGGCACAGTCTTAAATTTGATGAGGAGCTGAACTTGTGTCACCTCACCTTCTTGTGTCTCACTTCAAGCTGGATTCATATCGGCCAACAAGCCCTTGAGGCCTTCAGCATCGAACGTGCTGCCAGCTTTGTTTCTATTGCGCACTCCTGACGCGAAACGATTGCACCGGTGAAATGTCAGGGGATGTATCCTTGTCTGGAGTGGCTTTCAACAAGTCAAGGAACTCTTCAAAATCAATCTCGCCATCACCATTCCTTAGCCGCTCCAAAGTCCGAGTTGTTACGCGGTGCGGAAGCTAAGCAACAATAATGAAACTCATTGACGAAGATCCCTCCAAACAACCACCGGTGCACAAACCAAAAGTATGTTGTGAGTAGCCCTTTTTTCGCAAAATTGACGCCACAGGGCCAAGTATTGGTGACCCTGTGAAAAACCTTGAAAACCTTCAAACAGGAAAGCAACCCAATAGTTCTATTCATCGCAAGGAGTTCGTTTCAAAAATACCAGAGAAGCCCACAAGAAGCGACCTTCCGAAAAGGAAACAACGGTAATGTCAAGACCATATTAATAAACCCCCACCACCACGTGGTAGGTCAACAAGGTCAAGAAGACATGAGATACCACTCACGAGGTCCACCTCCCCTGAATAATCTGCTAATCGGCTAAGAAGCGAGTAGTAGTAGTAGTAGTCGTCGTCGTCGTCGTCGTCGTGGTAGTAGTAGCAGCAGTAATAGTAGTAGGGACCCAGGGACACAGGGTCAAAATAATAGGGGGTAGCAGTGCAGGTTTCTGATGGGGGACCGGCCCTTGTGAGGGGTGCCATTTACAAGCTTCTCAAATGATTATTCCCCAAAAAGTTTACTGTTGGGGTTCTATTCCCCAAATAGTTTACTGCTGGTGTTCTACCTCAGAAAAAAGAACTGGCCACACTCACTGGCCACGCCCCTGAACTCTGTGGCTGGGCTCTGTTGTCCTCCTCTTGTCCTTGTCTTGGCCGCGCCCCTGAACTCTGTGGCTGGTCTCTGTGGCCCGGTTTACTGGAGAGGAGTGTGGCCAGACAAATAGCGATGTCAACGCCGACCAAAATTCATTGATGTAGCAGTTTGCTCTTGCGGTGAAGGTAGGGCGTACCAAGAAATCGTTTTTTGACTAATATTGGCTGTGGCTGGGCTCTGTGGCTGGGCTCTGTGTCCAGGCCTTGTCTCTGTCTCTCTCTCTCTCTGTGTCTCTCTCTCTCTCTCTCTCTCTGTCTCTCTCTCTCTCTGTCTCTCTCTCTCTCTCTCTCTCTCTGTCTCTCTCTCTCTCTCTCTGAGACCCTCGCTCTCACGCTGTCTCTGCTTACTCTCTATGTCCGTTTCGCTGTTTCTTTCCCTCGTCTGTCTGTGTCCGGGTCTTGTCCTCCTCTTGTCCTTGTCTTGGCCGCGCCCCTGAACTCTGTGGCTGGTCTCTGTGGCCCGGTTTACTGGAGAGGAGTGTGGCCGAACAAATAGCGATGTCAACGCCGACAAAAATTCATTGATGAAGCACTTTGCTATTGGGGTGAAGGTAATTAAGGCGTACCAAGAAGTTCTTTTTCCCGAATGCGTAGCGAAGGGTTCTCGTTTAACTCTGGGGGTCTGGGGGTAGAGTCTTGTTCGCGATCCGTTGTTTCTATGTTCGCAACCGTCCTCAACCGTTCGCAACCGTCCGCAACCGTTCGCAACCGTTCGCAGTAGGACGCTAAGGCGCTGCCATTGGGGGAAGCTTTTGCAAGTGACTTTTCATGGATGTGTCACGTGTCAGTTTGCG